AAAAAAAAAAAAAAAAAAAAAAAAAAGCAAACCTTGTAATGTTAACATCTCTTAGGCAGCTTTTGTGGAACTGCTACCAAAAAAGGAACCCTAAAAGAACAAAATATATTATTCATATGTTCATTTCAGATCATCGATTCCCATTGTTCCCTAAAATATGAAAAACCTGCTTCTACCTCTCAAAGAAAAGCACATATTCTCTGCTGCAAAATCACGATTTAAAAAAAAGAAAAATTTATGAGAGCATTATTTAATCAAAAGTTATTCCAAATTTGGCGTGTAATTCTTTAGCGAATTAAATCAATACTTATGAAACCACCATAGGAAAGTAGGCCTGTTAGCAATCACTACTCTTTACAATGATATGATATTGTCCACTTTGAATATAATCTCTCGTAACTTTGCTTTGGACTTCTTAAAATGTCTCATATCAATGAAGATGTACTTTTTTAATTATAAACTCATGATCATTCTTTAAATTAGTCAATGTAGGACTCACTCCCACTGTAGCTGCCCAATTCCAAATTTGGTTTGTGTTTGTAGCTTTATTTAAAGTTGGTAGCTTTATTTAACCAACTTTGGTTTGGGTGCATATCAGAAAGAGAGAGAGAAGGTTGAGAATGGGTTCCCGTTTCCAGTTCTTCCTAATTGTGAGCCTAGTTTTTGCTCTCTCTAATTCCACGGCGGCGCAACAGGAAAACACCACCTCCGGCCACCACACCCCAGATACCAAAGTAACATCAGCACCAAAATTATGGAAGAGCCCTGGTTTGGGATACTCCACCCTTTTAAGACACGTAAGAATTCAACCATTTCTTTTCTTCTTTTAATTAAGGTAATAATTAAAAAACTAATGGTGAGAGAAGACAGGTTCACGGGGTTCTGAATATCATTGGATGGGGAACTTTGATACCCATTGGGATTGTGATTGCTAGATACTTCAGGGAGGAATTCCCATTGAGATGCGACCGATGGTATTCCGCTCATGCTGTGTGCCAAACATGCGGTTACATTATGGGCACTGTCGGATGGGGCTTCGGCGTGTCGCTCATTAACTCTTCAAACCGCTCTCACGTCCCATTCCTAGTCCTCGGCATTCTCGTCATCGTCCTCACAGCCATTCAAGTTAGTTTCCCTACGAACTCTAAATTGGATTATAAACTCTTAATTGTTTATTAACACTGTCCGGAAGAGTTGGCAGATTTGTGGGATATGCGTGCAACAGAAGAGGGAGAGCGGAAGGGGGCGGATGGGGGTAGTGTGGCACCGTGGCATGGGGTATGTGATATTGGCACTCATAATAGCGGACATATTTGAAGGTATCAATGCGCAGCGCCACCCAAAGAAGTGGCGATGGGCTTACGTTGGAATACTATTGGCTCTTGGCGTTGTGGCGGCGGGTTTGGAGGTTTACAGATACATCAAGCTTAAACGCTTCAAACAGGCCATGAAATTAAATGCCAATATGTATTCTCCCGCTACTTGATTAAGCTTTCATTATCCTCCTCCTCCTCCGCCCTCCACTAGAACAAATTAACCGTTTTGTTTTATTTATTTGGTTTCCATTACCTTTCTATTATAACACAAATAACATGTTTTAAATCAAGAAATCATTGTGTTATACTATTTATTATCGAACTCTTAGGCTTTTATGGGACCAACTGAACATGAGGGACTCCTTTCAAAGATAGGGGAGGGGCATCGTTCGATTCAAATTCTAAACACTCTTGTCGGAAAGAATTTCATCTAACATAGAGTAGCCTGATAGAATGTAGAGTCTAAAGAGGACGGTTGCTCACTATTAACAGATATTGTCAGTAATCAACCATTAATAGATATAGTCAGTTTATAATAGCTCAACCTCACTGCTAGCTAACAGATATTATCCGCTTTGACCCGTTACGTATTAACGTCAGTTTTACAGTTTTAAAACGTGTCTATTAGAGAGAGGTTTCCACACGCATATAAGAAATGCTCCGTTTCCCTCTCTGCTCACCGATGTGGATCTCACTATACATACGCTTTAAAACCACGAGGCTAATAACGATATGTGATAGTTAAAATCATCGACAATATTTGCTAGCAATGGCCAGTTACTATTTCAATTTTTAGAACCGAGTAATATTACAGTAATTTTCAAACAAATTAATATTTTTTAATATATTTATTTATTTTTAAATTATGAAAAATGAAAGATATGAGAATTGCGGATAGCGATGGGATTGAAAAAGGAATCTTCGCGACGACGTCGTTTCGCGGCGTTGCCTTCTTGGCGAGATTTTTCGACTGGAACGCCCGATAACTCAAAGCTTCCTCATTTGGTACTCTCCGAGTAAAGAACAATCTGGAGCAGGAAGATTCTGGTGTGGACATGGCCTCCTGTGCCGCTATGGACTGCCCCGCGTCGGCGGCGCTCAGGTCCGTGCTTGAGCGCGTACAGCAAGCCGCCGAACGGTCCGGTCGTGGGCCTCAGCATATCCGAGTCGTAGCTGTTAGCAAGACCAAGCCGGTCTCCGTCATTCGTCAAGTCTACGATGCTGGCCACCGATGCTTTGGCGAGAATTACGTTCAGGAAATCGTTGAAAAAGCTCCTCAGGTTTCTCTCTCTCTCTCTCTCTCACACTCTCTCTCGTCACTTTCCTCCGGATTCCATATTTGGCTATCGAGTTTCGGCTTTTAATTCTGTTAGAATTAGTGGAATTTTGGAAACGTTTCAATATCGATGATTCGGACTTGAACTAATTAACTCTGACGATCATTGAAAATTGCAGCTTCCGGAGGATATCGAATGGCATTTCATAGGGAATTTGCAGAGCAACAAAGTGAAACCACTTCTGAGTATGATCAAATTTCTTTTTCTAGCAATTATTTTTAGTGCAGTCTGGAGGCAATCTTTTTAGAAACTTCTTTACATAAACTTGCTCATGATACGAATATACGATTCAACTTACTCTATAATCTCACAAGAATATTGTGTTGTGGTTATATCAGTAAATCAGTGAAGCTATCTAAATACATGTCAGCCTTACTATAAACTAAGCAGCTGAATGAAACCAATTAACCAACACAGCAAATTAATGCTGGGCTGGACAAATGACGCCGGTAGCTCCAATAAGCTTGTAAAATTGTTAATTTCGGCTACTTCATGCTAGCCATTATAGAGGCCAATAGAAAGAATGTCAAGCATCAGACCTGCTTCAACAATTAAAATTGAAAATCTGAGAAAATCTGCATCAGGCCTTAAGTGGAATCCTATGCTATAGAATGAGTGGTCTTTTGGGATGGTGGGGGAAATTAGAAATGATGTCGTTGAGGAAATGAAATTTTTCATAATTATAGAAGAAGGGAGGAGAGCCTCAACCCATGCTATTGAAATTGCGAAAGGAATTTTCCAAGTACGAAGACCTGATAAGTCATAGTTACATAAAGGTTAGAACAATCTGTACCAAGTTGAGGCTTCGAAAAGATAATCACAGACAAGATAAAACAATTTTTCTTCCTTTCCAAAATTCTCACGTCCACGAAAATCTTGGATGAAACTGAACCATACATTTTAGATTCAGCTTCAAGAGGACGTGCTGCAAAACAAAGATGGAGGTTTTTGGTGTTGTTTAGAAATTTGTTTGACCATTTAAACATGCTAAAAATGTCTGCTTAAATCAAGAGGCTAGAAAGTATCTGATGAAAAGATGGCGTCGAGTCTCATTAGTGGTTTTGCACATAATTCATTAACTATGAAGTACAGAGCTAATGAGGTTTTTCTTTTATGAACTTCATAACTAGTTTGTACATCTTGAATACTATTTCACCTTTCATGGATAATAGCTCCTTCTAAATCGACTTAAAAGGTCCTGGTCAAGAACATGGGAGTTATTGAAGACATCCTTCAATTTCAGTTTACAAGTAAACTACATGTGTGGTTGCCAAGCCAAAGGCGCTTATCTTGTTCAGAACTAGGGCAGATATTTGTAGCAGATACATGATGTAAATCTATTCTGGGGCTTCCATGTCACTTAGATTCCTCCTGCAGTCAAGATCCATTAGGGAAATCAACATTGCAAATTTGACTCAAGGAGAACCTTTTACTGTTGAATATAACATGAAGACGAGGTTCTAATTTTTCACCTTGAAGAATATAGGTAAGCCCAAATCAAGACATTTAGAGAGGTGTGCTAAGATAATCCACTACTAAAGTCATAAGTACAGTTCTGAGGGCATTGTTTGTAATACTCCTCGAGGCTGTTCTTTTTCTCTTGGGTTGTCCATTCTCAATCAAATATCGAGAGGCTTCATGACATGCTCTTTAAGGAGTTAACTTCTATTGTTCTGTTATTTTTTAATTTCTTTTAAATTCTGTTACCTTCTACATCTTTGTTATTCACCACATTGAAGAAATTTGTGTTTTCACCCCGTCACTAAAGCTACTTAGACCTGCACATTTGGCCCCAAGAACTCTTATTTAAGAGTGCATCGTGGAACTGATGTTCAAGGAAGCTTCCAAGTCTTCCAAGTCATCTAAAGATTGAATCTCAGCATTGACAATAGCTTACCAAAGCAATGATCATCAATTGCTAGTCTAAGAGGATGATTTCAAGGCATAACTTATATCCATGCGCTTCATATTCACATGGAAGAGGAAATGAATGCATTTTCATATTATTAACTATAAAAGCAGGGGTGGATCTATGAATAGGAGATGTGTGAGTATCTATCGGACTCAAATTATCAATAGGCTTTCCAAGCACGTTGAAAATTCAGCCGAGAGTCGCTCCATTGGGCCAAACTCTTGAGTCCATTTCATAAGGGAAGCTTTGGAAGATTTGTGGATAAAATTTCATTTCACTTAGATTCCAATAGCAGAATAGTTTCAACTTTCCACGGAAGGGAGGGATCCATATGAAATTAGCAGCCACTAGTCTCTGCAGCCTAGCTACCCTAGAGCTCTATACTTAGAAATCCAATCTTGAGAAGCTAAGAATGTAATTGCAGCCAGTAGATTGTTTTGGATGCTAGGTCCTAAATCAATTTTGAAAACTAAAACCATGAAAATTTTGCTAAAAATAAAACTAGTAGTTGAACATAGAAATACAAACTTTTATACAACTGATAGTGAGGCCTATTGCTATTTTCTTTATTTTGTCAAGCTCGAGCTGTTCAATTGTAGATAAAGTGCAGTTTGACTAAGTTATTTAAATTACAGCCTGTTTTGGTGTAAATGAAGCTTTGACTTCTCCAATGGACTGGACCTTGAATTGGCTATTTCATAGACAACCAATTTGTACTCAGAACCTTAGCTGGATGGTGTATACACAGCCAAATTGTACTCAAAATTTATAAAATGTGATGTTGAGTTTGGTTATTTTCTTACCTCATAGAGAATTAAATTGGATAATTGGTTAACTAGAAATTTTTATATTGTGGCATTTCATCTAAGCAGCAGATGGCTTTAAGACCTTTTTAATTGCTTCTTTTCATATGCTTTTGTTCCTTCATTTCTAACCGTTACTTTTGCAATAACCACACAGCTGGCGTCCCAAACCTTGCAGTTGTAGAAAGTGTGGATGATGAGAAGGTACTCTTCTTATTAGTTATCTGGAGTTCTTTGATTAGAAGCTCATCTTCACCTCAAAGTTAAATTGGAAGTTCTTAAAATCAATTTCCAATATTTTATTTTAGTTATGCGGTGATTATTTCTCTTTCATTGGGTTCAGTTGAATTTGGTTTATAGCATGCGTGAGATCCCACGTCGGTTGGGGAGGAAAACGAAGCATTTTTTATAAGGGGGTGGAAACCTCTCCCATAGAGACGCGCTTTAAAAACCTTGAGGGGAAGCCCAAAAGGGAAAGCCCAAAGAGGAAAATATCTGCTAGCGGTGGGCTTGGGTTGTTACAAATGATATCAGAGCCAAACACTGGACAATGGGCTAGCGATGAGGTTGAGCCTCGAAGGGCTGTGGACACGAGGCGGTGTGCCAGCAAGAACGCTGGGCCCTGAAGGGGGTAGATTGGGGGGTCCCACATTGATTGGAGAAGGGAACGAGTGTCAGCGAGGACGCTGGGCCTCGAGGGGGGGGGGGGG